TATCAACACCAGCACGTTTCCATAAATCCTTTCTTATATATTGGTCATCAACATCTAATGTCACGATTTGACCATCATCGGGTAATGCTAAAGCAATTGTCAGAGTTGTGTAACCAGTCAAACAACCAACTTCAATACATCGTTTACAATTCATTAATCTCAATAGTACTTGGAAAAATTGTGCTGCATTAATATTACCCAGCATAAGTGGAACTTTGCCTAAAACCCAAAAATAATGAGACTGAAAAAATAAAAATTTTAAAACTCACTTATGTTCGTCTTACCTACCCGGAAGTGTTTGGGTATATTCAATTAATTCCTTTTGTTCTGGTGTCAAACGCAAGGAATGATCACCTATGTATTGATCTACTGAATCATCTTTAAGCTGTGATTTGTCTGAATATATTAAATACGGTGAAGTAGCCATAAAAAACGAAAATATCTAAAAATATCCGTAAACACTGCGTAGAAATTAATAGACGTGTGTTTCATATTTCAGAGATCGAGTATCATTTATTAGATTTTTTTTCTGAATATTCACATCACAGAAGATGAAACAACTAAAGTACTCTTGGGTAATTATGATCAGGATAAACAATTTTCTCAGTATTCTTGAAGCTCTGCAACTACTTTTCACCAAAAAAAACGGGATATGTCACACATAGGTTGAATTGAGTCTTACCTATTGATCGATGTAAATTAAAATTCTTTAGCATTAATTAGTATTAATCAATTTTTAGTGACCAAGTATCAACTGATCATAATTCCAAATGGGGTAATTATGGGATGTGTGAAAGATGAGCACTGAGCACCGAAAGTTGAGCGCGGAAAGGTGAGCACGGGAAAGTTGAGCACTAGGAAACATGAGCGCAAATTTAGAGCTTGTCAATTAAATTTTTTGTAACATAAACAGTTGGAAAAATTTAAGAGAAAATTAATTTAATCAATTTATTCAATATACTATTGTCGAAAAGTCATCAATACAGAAATTTTAATAATTTGTTGAAAATCAACACTGGCAAAAATTTAAGACAAAGTTACTAATAATTTAATCAATATACTTTTAGTTGGGATAATTTTGATGTAAATTCAATATACTATTATAAATTCATAACTTTTCTCGCAATTCACTTTCCCTTCTCAACTCACTTTCTCATTTTGAAAAATTAAAATTCCTGTACCGATTACTTTCGACAACAGTATATTGCATAAATTGATTAAATTAACTGCCTCTTAAATTTTTCCAACTGTTTATGATACAAAACTTTCCCCTGCTCATCTTTCCGTGCTCAAGTTTCGTCGTACTTATCTTTCTGGTTCCCGTAATTATGATCAGCACAGTCAGAATGGCTGGAATTACCTTAAACAACTTCGTTTCAACGGAGAATTTTTGAGCGAACAAATTAAAAATAACTTCATTTTGTAGAGAATTCTTTTTGTTGCTCTTTTTTCTTGTGTGAATTGCACATCATTCGGACTTAGCCTGAATTAATTAATGAGAAATTACTAAAATTAAAAGAGATCATTCTACTATTCTTTATGGGGTAATTATGATTAATCCGTGAAAATTACACAGAATAAACAGAATTTCAATTGCACTGGTCTCCAGAAACCGACTTTTAATCTAATTTAATTAAAAAATGTCTTCAGAATATTATAATTAATTACATATGTAAAAAGCGGAAGAAAAACGCGCGTTTTGAACGAGTACTGTACATAGAATGAACATCGTTGATTATAAATGCATTTCTGTTCATTAAGATTAGCAGAATAATTAACTTAGAGCCTTAATTAGCAGTCGGATAATGAATAAGTTGAACTTTTCATGTACATTATCAGATTGTCATTCTAATAGATCAGAAAGATTTTTAAAAACACGTAACATCAATCGTCCCGCTTTGAAAGAGCCACTGGTATCCTCTATACTCTTATATGCGACAAGTATTTTTATCATTTCAAAGTGTATATGAATTAAATAGCAGCTTATTTCAATCATTAGCAAAACAACATCTTTTTTTGAGAAATTATTTGCTATTTTTCAACCTTTTGAGAAACAGTTATATTTCGACGTCATCTTTTTGTCATTGGGTATGTTGCGTGTTTTATTCCAAGTGGGACGATTGACGTTATGTCTTTTAAACATTTTTTTGATCTATAATACTGAAAAATTGTTTATCCTGATCATAATTGCCCCAGACTACTCTATGTATACGTTAGATATAGAGATGGGACGAAAGACGTAAACTGAATGAAACACGATATTTTGTGCTTTCTTAAATCCCTCTTTAAAAATTTTATTGTGAAAAGAAAAGAAATGATTTTTGTCGCAGTTCTAATAACTTTTTTGTATTGATCAAAATTTTTTGAGTACGCGCATATTATGTACATTGATAATTATATCGACAAGGTACTAGGAGGACAAGCCTAATAAAGCACTTCACGTCTTCCTCCTTGTCTGAAATCGTATGACTGAATTCCATCAAAGATAATTGTATAAACAATAGTCTGGGTTGTTTGACTATGAGATTAATGTAAAAATCCTATAAGAGTTCCATGAACCAATATTTCCGCATTCTATATTTGAGACTTAGCTGCTGGTGGTATTGGGGATATTAGGTGGCAGGCTTTGTAACAAGTCATTAACAAAAACGCTGAAAAAACTTGGACCTGGTATGGATCTTTTGAGATACCAGACTCCATAAGCTTTTTTGGTTGACTGAATATCGCTGCTGTCACACGTTACCACTGATTAATTAAATATGAGAAGTGCCTAAAATCCTCAGTCAACAGAACGAGATTGCGGATTGCACTGATTCTTGTTTCTCCATTGAAAACTATCATGTAAACAATAAGGCAAAAAGAAAAACAGTATATTTTCTTACTGACTGTGAAATTTCAGTCGCGAATTATCCATTTGGATATTTGATTCTAAAGATATATTAAGTGTGCAATAAAGGACGGGGGCGATTATTTGATGAGATCCGCCCATGCTTGAATTCCATCGACACATACATGGTTAGATGCAGAATGAACAGGAGAACATTTCTGGCCACCACGCAGACCTTAGAAATGCTCTCAGAAAAGCTGAGCTCCAATTAATTGTAATCACTTCTGACACGTATTATTGATCATATTCTCGAGTGTGTCTCCCTCAGCCTCATACCTCAGTAGAACTATCATATGTAATTCGAAAGCTCTTTTTCTGCGCAATATTTCTGTATATCACATGTATGGATATAGTCGTTCTGAGGTCAAGTATGTTTAGAAATACTTCCGTCTATGGAAAATAATCTCCTATGTGGGCAAACAGTGTAAGATAATCTATGACACCCTTTATCATCTAGCTACTACGATAGATATACAAGTTCAGACACATATGATAGTGAAAAACGTGTCCTAGGACCCTTTGACATTAGAAATGCTGTTTGGAAAGCCGTGAAAAGTGGGCGGTTTATTCCACGGTCAGGATCCTATCATCAATGCTTCCCATCTAGCCACTACGATAGATATACCATTCAATAGAGAGTTTGACGAGCTGGAAAATGAGCTATAAATAAATCTTTCAGAAGTATGTCCAAGTGGGTCAACAGTTGAAACACTTGGTCGATATAATGATTTTGACGTATCGTGGTGCTTTCAACACTCCGTTAGTCAAATAATAATGTTTCGAATAATGTTTCAAATAGCCCGAAGATTTTTCTATCAGATTAGGTGTATATCGGCTTTTCATAAGAGAAGCTGATAATACAGCTTCTGGAAAACTTGACCGCTGAAAAACCAAGTCCTTAGTTTTTAGTGAGAAAATTTTGAAAATTTGAACCAGATAGCTGGATAAAGCGAAAAATTCTGAGCAAAATGAGACTTCTCCGGGCATTATATAGTGCTTTTTCACCGGAATATTTTGATACCTTTCATGCCCCTTGTGACTAGTGGTAAAGCGACTGTAGTTTTTTCTAGGGCTATCCAGTAGTATGTTTTCGAACAATACATAATTTTCATTATGGCAGAAAAACGACTAACGGAGTGTTGAAAGCACTAGGATACGTGAAGCCGCTTTACACGGCTTTACAGAAAGTATTTCTAATGCCAAGATGCCCTAGGACACATTTTCACTATCATACATACGTGAACTTGTAGCACAAGAAATTGTCTATCGATTGGTATATCTATCGTAGTGGCTGGTTGAGAAACGTTCATCATAGGATCGTCACCGTGGAATAAGTCACCCGCTTTTCGCGGCTTTGCAGAAAGTATTTCTAATGTCAGCTGATCCTAGGACACTTTTTTCACTATAGTATGTGTTTGAACTTGTATATCTATCGTTAAATGTTCTAATATAAATGTAATAATCCAAGATAAATGTTCTCCCGTTCATTCTGTATCGAACCATGTATGTGTCGATGGAATTCAAGCAGGGGCCGATTTCATCAAATAATCGCCCCGTCCTTTCTACTTATGACAACAACAAGAGAATATGCTGTTTTTCTGTTTACCTTATTGTTTACACGACAGTTTTCAATGGATAAACAAGAATCATTGCCAGGTGAAAAGGACGTTTGGTACAGTTAAAAAGTCGTTCATGCATAACGAAAGTGTGGATATTCTTCTGATGAAGCGAAATGATGTAATGTATGATAAAACGAGATGTTGCAATGCAGTATCTTAGATAAGGAAATCTGACTTGGTTGCTTTTCGTCCTTTCATAACAAACCTACTAGGCTTTGGCGTCACTGACCACTTGATGATATTTCCCCGAAAAAAACTTCAGAACATATGTAATTCGACAAGCTAATACATCACTATCAATATTTTGTTGTAAAAAATTGTATTTTTCTGCATGGTTTTCTTTTTTCGCTGCCAGGGACAAAGTTCGTCCAGTAGAGTTACAATAATAATGTGTGACTACACACAAAAGATTAATGTCAAAACCGAACCACATTCTTCTCACAAACATTACATAGAAATGTGCATATTATATAGAAGGTGGTTCAGTTTTGACATTAATCTTTTGTGTGTAATCTTCTAACTTGCTTCGATAAATTGAGTTTCTTTAAACCCGCTCCTCATTCAGAAGCCTATACTTAAAGTAGTCAAGCAATAGAAAGAGAAAATGAAGCAAACGTATGCGGACAGTTTACTGACTTCTCGGTAGCTGCCGATGAGAAGGTTTTCACTCAGCCGTTACCACCTGATATTTGAATGCCTTTCTATATATTGGTCATCAACATCTAATGTCACGATTTAATAATTTTCAATCACATGTTATGATGTAAGAATTGTAAGAAGCTTAGGCGCTTCTTGAATTATCTTACTAAGCATGGAAATAACACAATATTGCCTATTTCGAAAGTATTCAACAACATTTTACAGCGTACAGTAAAAAGAATGTCCTGGATCGCACGATCGATAATATAAGATTTCTTTTCA